CATATAAGGCACTTTTATAACCTCCTGTGATTCCAACAACCTCAATAAGATAAACAGGATCTACCCCCCTTTAATGGATGATAAAACCCAGAGAGATAATATAACTTGCCTGAGGTCACATGGCCAGTAAGCCCCAAACATGGAACCACTCAGTCCTGGACAGCTCAGTAGGCAACACTCCTTCCAGAGGAATCCCATGTTTCCCACCCAAAGTGCATTTGTTCACTGTTGCAAAAAAACTAAAACCAGTGAGCCCTGATTTGAACACTACTCTGAAATCTACAATCCCAGATTACGGGGACCTTTCTGCATCATACCAAGCTAGGGACAGAGTGTTGCCTATATGCAGCTGGAGTCTGAGCCACAATAATAGGTCTAATGGGAACGCTGACAAGGAGTAAGGACACACAAGTTCTGTCCCTTCATTTGGGACCTTGAATAACTCCTTTCTAGATCTCCGGCTGCCCCCTACTTCAGCAGCTCCCCTTCACAGAAAATTCCTCAGGAAGAGTCATCTATACCACTGGTTCTCGGAAGTGTAGTCTAGAGTGCGGGACTCCATGAAGCCAACCCTGTTCGTAGTAACACTAAGACATGTTTGCCTTTCTCACATCCTCTCTTAGGTGTACAATGGAGTTTTCCAGAGGTCACATGCTGAGTGACATGGCACCAGGTTAAAATCAGAAGCAAATAAGAGAACCCAGCTATTAAGGCAGATAATAAAAAGATTTGCAAGAATATAAAACAATACCACTCTACTCACTAAATTTGTTTGAAAAGAACATTTAAAACATTTCTCGGTTTTAATTTTTAATATTACCAGTATCCAAAGATATAACCCCAAACAAAAGCTTTTTAGAGTCCTCAATTTCGCAAGTGTAACTGGGCTTTTAAACCAAAAACCTGGAGAATCACTGGTCAACTCTCACTGCCTCAATTTTCTTCCCTTTCATTCCCTCTCAAACCTGCTGTGGTTTGAGGGGTTCTCTTCATTACGTGCCACCAAAATTGCTCGTGAGTGCCAATGACTTTGGCTAAAGCCAAAGGTCAATCCTCAGTCCCCATCTCCCTCAACCCACCAGCACATGGGCCACGGCCAATTACTTCCTCCTCACCGTGTCTTCACCTGCTTCCGGGACACCATATCCCAGGTCTCCTATCTCGCCGGCTCCTTTCCTTCTCCCCAACCTCACTGTGGGATGGCCCAGAGCCCAGTCATTCTTTGAACTCTCTATCCCCCCCTCTGGTGCCTTGGCCATCTCTAAATTTCTATCTCTAGACCAGATCTCTCCCCTGAACTCCAGACTCCCAACTACCCACTCCACCTCTGTACTTAGATTTTAAATAGGCATTGCAAACTTACACACGGCAGCAAAGCCTAACCTTCTCCAGCCCAACCTGTTCCTCTCCATGTCCCTCCCGTCTCACTTGGTGGCAACTCTATCCTTCCAAGGGCTTCCAAGGCCAAAACCTCCAAGCCCTCTTTGATTCCTTTCTGTCATACCTTACATTCAATCCAGCAGGAAATGGTTGGCTGACTTCAAAATTCACCCCAAATCTACTATCCCCTCCCGGGCTCCATTGTTCAAAGCCATCATTCTCTCTCACCTGGCTTGTCACAGTAGCCTCCCATCTTTTCCCCTCCCTTGTTCCCCTAGAGTTTACTTTTATCACAGCAGCCACAACGATCCTTTCAAAAGATCAGCTATCCCACAGCTGAACGAACACGCATTCAGGACTTTCCATCCTACCCAGGCCCAAACCCCCAAATCCTTAAAATGGCCTACAGGCCTACTCTAGTTGACCCCTAGTTACCTTTCTTGCTTCTTTTCTTACTACACTCCCCTCCCAGCTCTCTATCCAGCTTTCAAGCCTTTATACTGGCTGTTCCCTCTGTCTGGGATGCTCTTTTTCCAGAAATCCTCATGACTCACTCAACTCCTAGCCTTTACTCAAAAGGTCACTGTCTCAAGAGACCCACCCTGATCTCTTCCATTTAAAAGTACACCTCCACCCTCCACCTCCCAGCATTCTGATCTCCCTTGTCCTGCTCTAAGGCCCCCAGAGCACTTGGCATTTTCAAACATACTATGTTTATTGTCTATCTCCCCACCAGGATGTAAGCGCCACAACTGCAAGAACTGTTGTCTATTTTATCCACTAAAATATCTTCTGTAACTAAAATAATCCCTGGCAAATAGTGTGTCAATATGTTGACTACGTGAAATTAGCTTCTCTATCTATAAAACTTAAGCGGGGAGCAGGGGTAGTTTGGACAATAGCTCTTTCCAACTCAAGCCTCTGATTCCTTAACCAGCCAGACGCAGCTCATTGACACTGCAAATGATTTGAAGGGTCAGCTCCTGGTTACACAGACCTGGGCCCAGGCCCACAAATCTAAATGCCCGGGCCGGGACAGGCTAGGCTAGGGTATGGATCAAATAGGCACCAGCTGACCAAGTATTGTTGTCACTAGCGGTCAGAGCCTGGGACACTCAGCAGGGCTATGTGCCTCATCTTCTCTTACGGCAATGTCACCTATTTCTCCTACCTGGAGGAATCACCCTTCTTTTAGCTAGAACTTTGCCCTGCAAACCAGGACAAATCCCAACGGTGGCTGTCCAAATGGAGACCTGATCTCAATTAGTTTTGACAACCCCACAATCCTAACCCAAATTCAGGTCTCTCCCAATGACAACCTTCATCCTACCCCAGGACAAAACTTGAATTCTAAAAGGGTTTTTTTTTTAAGGTTTATTTTAGAGAGAGAGCGTGTGCGCACGTTTATGGGGGGGGAGGGAGGGGCAGAGGGAGAGAATCTCAGGCAGACTCCACGATGAGCGGATCTCCCAGAGATCACAAACTGAGCTGAAACCAAGAGTCAGGTGCTTAACCGACTGTGCCACTCAGGCGTCCCTCTAAGAGGTTTTTTAAAAGTGGAAGCGATAAGTTGGAAATGAGAAGTGGTGGCATGAAATATGACTAAAATGTGGTCTAGCCAACCCTTTCTGGGCTCTAACACGGCACTACCCCAAACCGAGCTCTGGAGAACACTCTCACTCAGTGGGCAGCAGGGCAAACTGGCCTGCCATCTGCCAAAGTGCTCAATGTTTCTGGGAAGCAAGAATTAAACCTAGTGGCTCGCTCCCGAAGTAAGTTCACTGAGAACACTACAGATGTGACCAGGCTCCGCTCAGCACTCACTGAGAGCAAACAGCACTCCGAGGGCGATGGGGGGAAAGGAAGGGACCAAGAACCCACCCAGGAGACTGACGGCTCTGTGCCCAGGGTGACCCCTGGGATTAGCACCACCCCTCATCACCTCATCTCAAGGCTTCAGCAAATATAAGAATAGCTTATTTCCAGCTTGCCAGATTAAGAAAAAAGGTAGGATGGGGGGAGGGTCATGAGGAAAATACACCTGCACTTAAATTAGAAGGACGGTGGATAAATGACCTAACCCCTTGCAGGGTGGCAAAGGGGAAACCAATTGCTACATACCCACCTGGCATATATGGGAGGAGTCAATGTTCTTGTCCCTTCTCACAAAGCTAGGCTGCCTTACTTGAAAACAAGTCAAATCTGACCAATACACCAGCCAGCCTTTGTATCTATTGCCATCAATCTCTCCCAATGTATTGCTTTCTTCTGCTTCCACATCTGGCCGGCTGTCTTGCCAACTGCCTGCCTTGATGATGATCCAGGCACTCCTCCATCCTCAGTGCTACTTAATTTCCGGTTCAACAACGCCTTACTAGCACTGGGAATGAAATCATTGGTCCAGCTGGTCTCTCAGGCTCCAGTTCAACTCCGTTCGTATGTACCGGAAGTCCTTAACGCTGCACCCTTCTGCTCTGGTATGCACGTGGCTCCCAAATGCCTCCTAAGGTCAAATTCCAGGGTCCCCGTTTCACCTTATTTCTGATCTTATGTCCCTTGCTCACACCCCAGACTCTGGTCCATCTCAACGACCACTGCCCTGCCCGGTACACACTTTTGGATTTTCCACCTCAGCTCTGCCTAACTCTCCTGACAGGTCACTGTCTGATTACCAAAGGTCTGCTCTCCTCACTGCCCCAAACTGGCGGAGGCGCTCAAGTGTGCTAGGCTCCCTCCAGCTTCAGGTCCTTTGCAGAGGTTACTCCTTTTACCTGGAATGCTCCCCCCAATTCCCTCCTCCTGCCTCAGGGCACCATCACCTAAAAGGCTAATTTCCCTTAATATCATTTCTCATTTGTCGTAAAGCACCTATGACAAATAACGATCAATGTTTCTCTCCCCGACTAATTCAACTAAGCTGCAGAATTCATGAGGATGGGGGAGCCATTTTCTGAATTTGCTCACCGCTGTTACCCCAGAGCCTAGCACAACACTTGACAAATGAAAGCCCACAATCAATCTCTTAAATAAGCAAACACTTCCATATAAGAATATTCACTCACGCATTATTTACACTATCTAAAATGAAGGAAACCCATCAGATATCTAAAATAGGAAAATGCTTACATTGTACATATAATGGGACATCAATTATTGAAAACCGAACTTCCAAAGTATCACATGGGGAGATGCTCAGATGAGTATTCAAAGAGCAGGAAACAAAACTGTACCTAAATATAGCAGGTCTCAACTGTGCAGAATTGGACATGTGAATAGGAAGGATACAATTATGGATAATGTTTATTCTCTGAAAAAAATTGTCCGTTATCTCTTCTGCACATTTTCTCCAGTAAGCATTTATTAATTAACGAGAAAAAGTATTTCTAAAACACATGAGACTCTGCTCAAATGCGATGTCCCCTCAGAGAACTTTCCTATACTTTTCAGCTCTCACTTCCCCAAAGCTCTCCTCCTCAAGACTCAGGCGGGTCCTCTCACAATAAGCACTCGGTTGTCTTCAACCCTCCATCGCCCCCCAGCTCCATGGGGCCCGCTGTAGGGCCCGAGATGAAGAATCCAGTCCGGGAAGTGTGCATGCAGAACAAAAAGAGTACACTCACCTAGTTTAAAAACACTCAAGATGCTTTGCCCTGAATTTTAAGCAGCACATGTGACCTGGTCCATTCTGGTTTCAAGTTCAAAGGCATCAGGCCGGTCCTGTGGATTAGCAGCTAACATATCTTTCAAGAGCTGCTTGATCCCCTCAGACATGGAAGTCCTGCGTTTCTGGGGGATATGCAACTCCATCTTTGGGTTTTCTAGCAGCGCCTCACCAACAGGGACGATTTCGGTCCCCTGTTTGATATAGGTCCCCAGGAGCTCCTTCTTGGTCTCAGAGTCAATAAAAGTGATTCTTTCTATCATTGCCCAGATGATAATGCCCAGGGCAAAGATGTCGGCCTTGGCTGTGTAGTGTCCCTCCCAGACTTCGGGGGCCATGTAGAAGTCTGAGCCGCAGGCTGAGGACAGCCAGTATTTATTCACATTCACATTTTTGTTGTCTTGATGGCCCTCTTTTCCTCGGGGGGCTAACCCCGCACAGACCTTGCTTAGTCCAAAGTCTGCCACCTTGAGGATGGGGGTGCCAGACCGCTCGGTGATGAGGATGTTGTCTGGCTTTAGGTCCCTGTGCACGATGTGGTTTTTGTGCAGGAAGGCAATGGCGCTTGTGAGCTGTAGCATGAAGCTTTTGTTGGTGGCTGGGTCCGGCCTCCGGGACAGGACGTACTGATTCAGGTCTCCACCTTCACAGAACTCCATGACAAACCAGAGATAGCAGGGCTCCTCGGCATAACCCAGGATCCTTTCTCCTAAATCGAAGGAAGACCGGAAAGAGCTTGAGTGCCACGGACACATCCACACCACTCTCAGACGACACGCATGCAGCACAGCGGACTTACGATGGGACAGTGGTGACCAGGCTCCCATCCGAGAGGACCAGCAAACCCCGCACGGAGCCAACACTGCACCAAGCAGGCCCAGCTCTACTCACATGGGATGAGTCAAGGGCTAACAAGCTAAGGAATGACACAGGCTGCGGACACTGGGGTCAAGCACCTGGCTTTGGAATTACCCGGTGCCTGCTGACCAGTTCAATGAATAACCAGGAGGCAACTGCACTTAGTTCACCTTTCCAAGTCTCTGCTTCTGCCGCCACACCTGTACACAGCCATACGTCACTCACTCACAGAATACCTACACTGGCCTCTGACCTTCAAGCTGGTATTCACCCTCCCCCCCACCCCGGGGGGGGGGTGGGTAGGACGGAAATAGCCCCATCTTAAAAGGTGAAGAACCTGAGCCTCCCAGAGACTTAAGAGTCCAGGGACTCCAATCCACGTGACTGGGAAGCCACTGTGTTTCATTCCAGTGCCTCCGGATCACACCCCCCATGGCTCACAGGGCTGCTGATGAGACAAGGTCAAGGGTGCAAGAAGGCCGTAAAAATGTCTGTTAATCCTTATCAGGCAAAGGACCTCTCCTCCCCGCTCTCCTAACTTGCAGGACTCTTGTGGATGCGCCTAGAACACGGCACTACAGTTTCATTTGAGAGGCATATTCCAGTGTTTGCTGCTCGCCCACCGTATCTGCCTAGCACAAGTTAGGTCTATAACAGGCCCCTCTCTCTACAAAGCTTAGTTTCAAGGAGATAACAGGTAAGTATATAAGACAGCAAGCATCTTAAGTATCTGCATTGAGGTCAACTTTTACAACGAGCAGTGACCGGTGGGTAGGAGTTGCCGTATCTGGGAGTCAGAAGGCGCAGGACCTGGGTTCCACCTACAGGACAGGCAGTAGATCAGTGGGGAGAAGCAAGAAGAGAATTCTAGGCTGAGAGATAGGATGTATAATGGGACATGTGAGAGGTGTAAACAGGAAGGAAGTCTGGTGGGAACAGGAGTCCAAAGCAGACACAGAAGTTAGAATCAAGTCGTGTTGGCTTGACACTCCAGCTCTGCCTTTCAAGAAGTCTTTCCTTTTGTTGAACCAACAGAAACTCCAGGAGAGCTGGTGATCGGCATCTCCAAACAAATCCCAATGTTCTTTATAAAGCAATTAATGGCACACGGAGTCCTTCTGTGGAAGTTATTTGAGGACTATAACTGCCCCCAAAGTCTAAATAGGCAGAAGTCTTATCTTGCTGAGGAAAGGCGGGGCCTGCCGTGGGTGGTCATATGGATCATTCAAGACTGAGCGTGAAGACTCCTCTCATCCCTAGTACAGGGTCTCCATTCCACCAGGAAAACAAGAGCTACATCTCTTTACGTAGCCTCTGCCAAAGCTGAGTCTACAGAAGCCACTGCTTTGGGAGTTCTAGGTTGAGGCATGATGACGAGAGATGGACAAGGCAAAAGCTCTGGGTTTTTGACCATGATCAGACAGACCTCACTTCCCCTGTAATTATATAATTTGTTTGTTTATATTACTCACAATCAAAGCAACACAGGTAGAACCCGTTTAGGGCGGATGGGGCGTTTTCTTTTTAAAATTAGCTCTTTCCCATCTCATAATCCTCTTTCTAGGTCACTGGCTCTGGTGGGCTGAGGCTCTTTATCTAAAAACACTGCGAAATGATGTGGTGATCTAAAGCCCAAATCCATCCCGATGCCAGAGTAGAGACCCATAAAAAGGAGGGCAAGAAAAGGTCTGCTGGTGGTACAGCCAGAAAGGAAGTGTTTAAAAAGCCATCAAATTCCTTTTGCAAGGGCTACCATCAGAAAACAGTGCAACTTTTTCACTGACACAGTGGGGAAATAAAGGGTGGGGAATGGTGATTACTTTATATACAAAGCTGGTAACCAGGGCAACTAAAGTAAAAAGAAAACAAGTCTGCAAAACAGACTACATTGTAAGTCCAGGTTATGAGGACCCAAGGAAAGAAAAGAAGGGTAAACAAGTGCCCTGGGGGCGGGGGGGGAGGGTTATGGGCCAGGGACTGAAAAGCTCGCTCCAGTGGGGGGGAATGAGCTGAGCTCCGGGGATGCTACAGGCAGGGGCTGTCTGTTGAGAGCAAAGTGCTGGACAGGAAGAAGCGGGCTCCGAACCCGACCCGACATCAGGGAGCATGTCAGAATGGAAAGCCAGGGAAGGCGGCACTTGTCCCAGAGGCAAGAACCACTTCCCTGCACGGGCCAGGGCCGTGGGCTCATTTCATCAGAAACCGCAGCATGGGTTTTCAGGCAGGAATTCCCTGCTGCCCACTCACAAACAGGAGAGGCATGCGACAATTCCAGTCCTTTCCCTCTGGCAGACTGCCCACCTGGGCCCCTGCCTACCTCACGGTAGGACGGAGGGCACGTGGCACCTGATGCGTTTCTGTTGAGAAACCAGCCAGGGTGAAGTCACAGGAAGGGCCCAGGCGAGAAGGTGCCGAGTCTGGGGTTAGATGACAACTCTGTGCCCTGGCTAACTGGGTAGGCTCCTAGCTCGAAGGGAAACATGGGGGAGACAGAAACGACGGGAAGGACCTTGGGCAAAGGATGGCTGAAGCTCTGTGAGCCTCTGCAGCCTCCACCACATTCACAGGGACACCGACACCACATAGTCCCGGGAGTTAAGTCACAGACAAGAAACAGATTCTGCAGGGCCTCAGATACTTTGGGGAAAGGACATCCTGACCATCAATAACCTCTCCACTGGGCCTCTGTCAAGTCCGAGGAAGCCACCGATCCCAATAAGCCCAGTGCTGTAGGCCACAGAGTAAAGTGCTAGGAAACAGGACGTTGAAATCAGAAAATGAAAGTGCATGATTTTATCATATTGTTCAGGCCGTAAATAGCTAAGCCCATGTTCTAGGCAGACCAGGTGGTTTTGAGGTGCTCCCTCCCTAGAAAGCCTTCTCTCTCCCCAAATTTCTTTCTGCTGGTGCATCTGTGAATGTGTACCTTCACCCCCTGCCCAAATGCCAACCTACTTGATGCCTGCCTGACCTCCCAGGTGACTTCCCTCTTCTGACTGGCCACAGCTCTTGTCTTCCAATTTACCACGGGGTGACTGCACACTGGGGAAGGGAAAGTGCTCAAACTTTCAGGGATCACCAAACCATGGTCCTGCAAGGACATGGATTCCTGCAGACATATCCCTGGGGTCCACTGGTCAGTAGGGGCTCATGAAGGTCAGGTGGTCCCAGGGAGCATCAGTGTCCATCCATCTCACAGCCGGCCCGGCAGTTGCCCAGCCAGCCTGTGGCTACCCGCAGTTTCAGGATGGAGAACTGGAATACACACGCACCAACTAGAGCAGAATCCCCACATGAAGCTTACAATGTTTTGAGTGGATAGAAACAAAATTAAATTTTATAATTCCCTTGTTTGGTACAGCCTGACAGTTCTATAAGGTGAGAAGAGTCAAAGATTTAGCTTCCCAGAGCGAGAGAGAGATGGAGTGTTCCCTGGAAGTGTTAAGGATTTCAGGTAAATTCACCTAAGAGGCCACTGGGTTCCAGGCACTATGTAAAGGCTCACTATGTTGAGCCGTCTATGCTCTCTGGACGTGCTTTTACAGGTTGGCAAACTAAAAGGAAGGTTAAGTAACTTGCCCAAGATCACGGCCATGGCTGGTTGGGTAAGACCTGAGCCTCCGCTGCCAAGTCCTTCCACCAACACGATGCTGTCACCCGGGTCCCAGGGGGCTAGGAAACGCACTGTGATTAAAGAGACAGGCCCACCTTCAGGACAGTTTGATTACCTTCCCTTCAAGTCCAACAGCCTGGAGACCACAGATTATACTCTATTTCAAAACACTCCATGCCACAGTTCACAGGGACACAAGAGAAAACGGGGGAAAAAAACAAGTCAAGCAGGTGTCTCCCAACAAAATGTGGCCTGCTTTGTTCAGAAAACTTGAGGCCCGCAGGCTTGGCAGAAGGATGAGTCGGTGTGAGCTTTGGGACAGAAGGCACCTCCTAGAAAGGGATACGACATAGCCAGGGGTTCATGAGCCTATTCCCAAGCTGCCTCCAGAAGCTGGGATTTCCTAACTCTAGTCAATCCCATTTAAACACTTCCTGGGCACACGCTGCTTGTGAGACACCAGAGATGAGATCAGCAGTCGTCTCTGCCCTTGTTCAGGTTTCTGGTCATTAGAAGCAGAATGACAGCCCACGGGGATGAGAACAAGGAACAGGGTGCAATTCCGCCCAAGGAGTGGGCAAGGTGGTTAGGAGAGAGACAGGCTGAAGATCACTCAGGGGTGGCCCTTGGGCAGTGTCTCCCAGGATGGCGAGTGAGCACACCACACATGGGGTGGGAGCTCTCAGCTCGGGACCCAAGTCATCTGGGGTCAGCACATAAGAGATGTAGCAGGAGATGTGCAGAAAGGAGGCTGAAGGTGAAGCCGCTGGAGTCGGGTCCTAAGAAACGGGGTCTGGCAGACTGAAGGATTTGAGCTTAAGCTCTAAGAAATGGGAACTAAAAGTTCTTGACATGTTTTAGAACGATACCCTGCTTACAGAGTCTTAAGTCACCAAGACCTACCATTTAAGTAAGACATACAGGGTGCTAAGAACACTACTGCACACAGCTGCTTACACTGGGTTCTGATCGCCAAGATGCGGCCACATGCAAGAGCAGGTCTCAGAATCCCTCCTACAAGTTCCCTCTGCAGGCATGAGGAGTTAGAGATGGAAGACAGCCTGGGAGCTAAGAGATTCATCAGGAGTTTTGGAAACCCCAAGAAGTGAGGACTGGCAAGGGAGAGATGGGGGTGGGGGGGTGGAGATCTTGAATCAATAGAACTTAGTAACATCACATGTCCTCTGTGACAGGAAGGAAGCATGGAGAGAGTACTCTAGCCAATCCTCTCTTCTTAC